AAACACGCCTCTTCTGTTTTCTGGAAATCCGCCTCTCACATTGCCAGGAGCTGCTGGTCCAAAACCGATGCGTTCAGATAAACTGGAGGTATTTGTGTAGAAATATATAAATACTACATGGTTTATATTAACCTTATGCATGAAACAACAGCCTCAGAGCCTTCTGTTTTGAATGCCTTAAATGAGTGCACCTGGGTTTTTAGCTTATAGAGTATAACATCAGAACAATGTTAATTATTTTACTAATGCAATTATACCCTTTTGTGAAGTGAATTGATTCAGTTGTACAGTAGGTTAAAGCATGTCTTAGTGTACCTGGCCACAGATGCATCTCCTTTGCTATGCACAGGAAATCTGGTGGGAATGCTGCTTCTACTCAAGCTCCAGCCTCATAGACTGGACTTGCTATGCTTGTTGATGGGTTTCTACGTGCTAGAATAATCAAACTGAAGAAAAAGGTAGTCTAGTCTATCTGCTAATGCAGAATGTAAATGAGTCTCATAGTATCTAAATATTTCCCCCATTTATATCCCTTTATGCTAAGAAAATAAAATGTAAAAAAAATTGAAACAGCTTTCTTACTTATTAAAGTCCTTCAAACATCTCTTAATTGTCATTCTTCATAAATTGAAATTAATAACTAGTCAGTTTCTTACAAAGTCAGCTTCACCGGCAGCTTCTTAAATGCCTGGCAGTGTATTATAATGGAATTTGATTGTCCACATAATGTAATTCAATCATGGCCCACAAGTCTGCTTCTGGAAAAACACATTGCTGTGTGATAAAGACTCATCTTGGACCTTAACAAAATAAATCCCTTTTGCAAATGTAGCTAATTACACTTTAGGCTGTATTAAATGGAAAATTAAAAATTGGTTTCCAACAATGCTTTTAAGCACTTTTATTTCAACGTAAGAAAAACAAGACAGCTTTCCTTTGGAGAGAATGGATTTTTTTTTCTAAGAATCAAAATGTTGTCTACGTTTACATCTCAGAGTAAACATGGCTTTACATTATCCTTCAGCTTTTTAGATTTTTCCTAAATAGATGGCAAAGTAATGTATACTATTGCTCTTACATTCACTGGCAAAATAAATAAAACTTAATCACCTTCTAAGTCATCAACGTGATATTTTTTTCTTTAAGGTTTGCCGAGAATTTCAGCGTGGAAATTGTACACGTGGTGAGAACGATTGTCGCTATGCTCATCCTACTGATGTTTCTATGATTGAGGCGAGTGATAATACTGTGACCATCTGCATGGATTACATCAAAGGCCGATGCTCCCGGGAGAAATGCAAGTACTTTCATCCTCCCACACACTTGCAAGCCAAACTCAAGGCAGCTCATCACCAGATGAACCACTCAGCTGCCACCGGGATGGTAAGAACATGCCAGGACTTACGGACTATTTTTTTTTTTGGGGGGGGGGTACTGTCTTGTAACCATAACCTTGGATAGTCATGAGTGGACCTTAATATGAATAGCCAAGGTTATAAGGTGGAAAAGAGAGAACCTATTTGTTCTACTTCATTCACTAAAATTTTCTTAAGGTAATTATTTAAAAACCTTTACTGATTATTATAATCTGCTGTGCTTTTTCTCCTTTTTTAGGG